GAAATACCCTATTGTTTTTTGATTTTCATTTGTCAAACCTGCGCGATCACACACACGCGGGCCTCTTTGTTGTCATTCACGTTCTCTCACTTTCCTGGGTTACCTATAAGTCTGTCTCTCTCGCACTGACTAGTGCTGTCGCTATCCGTGACCCCTGCCCTGCATTAGCCTGCTTCACTCTAAATGTAAATGGATAGTTTTCTGCCATGAAATGCAACAGATTCGTCCTCTTTATTCGCACGGACGGATTTAAGCAGCCAATTTTTGGGTACGCATTTTTGCGTTATCTTAATTTTTTTCTGTGCATTTCTTTGTACGAAACCGTCTACTCTTGGGCACAAATTCGTACAAAACGAAACGTAGTTTTTTTTTACATATTTACAAGTAAATACAAGTGTCGTGTACAGTCTAGTGTGGTGTGAGGTGATTTAGGAACCTTATGTGCGTGTGGGCTATGATCGGCGATGGTGAACCTAGACCAGTGTGCGTCATCAAAACGCGTTCACTGTTAAATTTTTTTTATTACATTTTCATACATGCTGTAATGAAAATGTACTAAAAATAATGAAAATAAAAATGTGATGAAAATGTTATGAAACATTTGTAACAGTGTTTCCCACTTGACCTCCCTGTTCACAGGCCACCACTTCTGATCAATCCTGCTTGATATTCACTGTGGACCATAAACGAGTCAGTGTGTTCGAGTGATGTCCAGGATGAAAATTACGTATGGTAAGTACAACCTTTGAAGCGCTTTGAAGCGGAATATGTAAGGGGCGTCATCTCTGACATTCCTTCACACTTACTGCATATCGATCTCATATTTCCGCGAATTCAAGCAATCACTTTTTTTGCACACGTTTCTGCGTGTTCTGCATTCACTTTGGAGGGGTCCTCTACTTCCTTACCTAGTGTACACCCTACACCCGAGTATGTTGAGTAAAGGCGAGTATTTCCCGCATGGAAATACCCAATAATATGACTTGCCGAAGTGTCGAAAAAGTATACTTAAAGGTTACAACAATTATGCAAAAAGTAAGCCAAACGTGCCAGCCAAGTGAAGCAGACACAATCTGCTAGTCAGTGTATAATGCTTAATGTATACTTTCTTGAAGGTGCTCATCATTTTATTATATACACCTAAGTTTCATTTCGAGATATATTATTTCGGTTACAGTAGGGTATTATCAAAATTGCATCTTTTGAGGTAGCCATCTCGAATTTTGGTTTTAGGCATATCTTAACACGGCGAATGTGGGGTGGCGGTGATTTTTAACAAATTTACGATCGTCGTCAGGGGAAGTAATCCACACCTCCCGTGAGAGTAGGCTCTTCTCCACTTTCCCAGTCAATTAGACCGCAAGACCGCCACCCAATGCGCCCAATAGACCGTTCCGACAGTGCGCTTTTTGAGAAGAAAAGAAGAAGTCAGGACCGGAACCAGTACCTAAAACGCGCTTATTTTTGTCATTTGACAGTGCAGTTCAACGTGAATGACCTCGATTAAATCTCTAGTAACTGTCAATTTTAGTTTTCACTAATTTAAGCCATTATTTTAGAAGTGTTTCCGGTGGTGATTTCATTAATTCTTCTTTAAACGGGCACTGCCGGAACCATCTATTCCTCGACGCCGCTCCCATTGAACATGTTCGAACGTGAATACCGGCCGAGGGGGCCTCAACTCCGGCAATCCGGTGTACACCCGCCTAGCAATCCGATTGCAATCTTTAAAAATCCACGGCAATCCGCGAAATATTGGAAAATCTCAGGCAATCTTCAAAATCCGCGGCAATCCAGAAAAATCCAGGCAATCTAGCGAAAATCTGTAGCAATCCTCAGCAATCTTTAGCAATATTTAGCAATCCTCAGCAATCTTAAGCAATCCTGAGCAATCCCGCGTTGAAAAAGGACAGGGTCTGTTTAGTTCCCCTTTTGTTTCGAAACAGCCCGGGCCCTGCAGGGTATGCTAACTTAACCAAAATTAAATTCTTTTACGAATGTTAATGTTTAAATTAACAGCCCTACCATTTATCGCAAACACGAATATTGACTTTTTTCCCTATATAACACTACGTGAAGTTATGATCTTATAACGGTAATATTAATAACTTTAGCGGATCAACTTTGGAATTTCCGTTATTTTTTAACGTTATAGGCGATAACAATAATCGTACCCAAATAAATTGGCTGAGCGGTTAGCGAAGATTATTACTCCAGTGATGATCAAAAGGTTTCGCGTCTGTCTGTCTGTGTGTGTCTGTCTGTCTGTGCGCACGATAACTCGAGAACGAATTGAGCTAGCAACCTGGGATTTTCAGTCCCGATTTTGTGTCCTTAAAAGACAGATCAAGTTCGAAGAAGAGCATTCTAGCTCAAATTGGATTTAAAAAAAATCCAAAACCACAGGTCCCACAAATGACGTTTTTTTAAAAATACTTTTTTACAGTTTTCTAAGGGGTAACTCATCAAAATAGACGTGCAGAGGTGCCCTCGAGCACGCGTTTGGTTGGATTTAAAATTAACGTTATTTATGTATCAGAGAATGTTAAAGGTGATAACGTTATTTAAACAACTTTTACAAAACGTTATAAGACACTAGGTAGATGTACGCCAGAGCACGTCTCGCGTAACAGGCTTCGCGATATCTCACGAAACACTGTTACGCTGCGACGCGCCTGGCATACATCTACCTAGGACTGCGGCGCTGACACCCAAGGCGTGCAAAGGGCACAGTCGTAAATAGGCCTTCGGCCCTCAAAGTCACTAATTTTGTTCCTCGAGGTATCAGTTTGATTAGTTACTCCACCGGGTACCATTAAATATCTGAGAGTTAACATTTAAATGTTTTGGGGTCTTTTCCGTGTGAAAAACGCCCTGTGGAGCCCAAACGGTCAGAGATAGAGCCAAACGCCTACCGGAGACCAACAAATACATGAGTAAAAACATAGAAATGTTTTGCGGTCATTTTCGTGTAGAAAACTCCCTCTGGTGCCTACACGGTTGAAGATGGAGCCAAATGGACGAAATTTTCGCCCAAAGGGCTCTATTTTATTATGAGTTACCCCTTAGGAAACGGTAAAAAATATTTTTAAACCACGTCATTTTGGGGACCTGTGGTTTATGATTTTTTTTAAATCCAATTTTCGAGCTAGAATGATCTTCTTCGAACTCGGTCTGTCTTTTTATGACACAAAACGACCCTGAAAATCCCAGGTCGCAAGCTCAATTCGTTCAAGAGTAATCGTGCACACAGACAAACAGACACACAGACAGTCAGACGCGAAACTTTTTGATCATCACTGGAGTACCAGGTAGATGTACGCCAGACCACGTCTCGCGTAACAGGCTTCGCGATATCTCACGAAACACTGTTGCGCTGCGACGCGCCTGACATACATCTACCTAGGCCTGCGGCGCTGACACCCGAGTCGGGTATCGCAAAAATGCAAACAAAGATACGGGCCTCCGGCCCGTCAACTTCCCGTCAGTTCGACTAAGCAAGCAGGGTTGTACATTTTTACGCTTATTTTCGTGAAAAACTCCTTGGGGCGCCTAAATGGTTAAAGATAGAGCCAAACGGACGAAATTTTCGCCCAAAGGGCTCTACTTTGATGAGTTACCTCATAGGAAACTGTAAATAAAATATTCCTCGCTGCGGTCTTCACTCGGAGCAGCACACTGTAAAAGCCAAGGGTGACTACTGTCCGCATTATGTGGATGGCCGGATCTTGCCCCTCGGAGGGGTACCTCTTACCCATTAGGCAGGTCAAGCGTTCCCCTCACGAGGGGTTATTTCTCACTCGTTGGCGACATCGGGGTCTGCCTGTACTCGTCCGACGAGGCTCAATGTACCCCTAGCGGTGTCTCTTTGTCCTCCACGCACGGGGACTCCCGGTCGCAGTGCGGGGTCTGCTTGTACCGAGCTTGTACTCGTCCGACGGGGCTGTCTCCCCTTCCTTCACGCACGGCTACTCCCGTTCCCCGGCCTCTTGCGCCTGCCCGCGGAGGGTGCCGAAAGCGGTGTACTTCCCGCCAAATGTTACAGAATGTCATTTGCAAACGTTGGGTCGAAAAAGATATTTTCTGTTGTTTTTTTTTTGTCTGGCTTGGTTTAGTCTCTGGCCTAGGCCCCCCACACGACGTAATGAAGCCCCTCTGACCCTCACATCACTAACTTGGTAGGCTGTCATCATGGTTGGTTCGGTTACTACATAGCCGCAAGATACGCGTGTTGCTGGCAGTGCCGGGAATAGAACCTCGGCCATGCCAACTCAGCGCTCATGCTTCGTTCGTAACTTACTGGGCCACGGAGCCACATGGGGGCGGGTGTTGCCGGCGGTGCAAGGCATTCCAGCCTTTGTCTCCTACAGACTAGAGTCCTATATTGGGGAGAGACCCGCGACCGGAGGCGCCAGCTCTGATTGGCTGAGAGGGGTCACGTGGGTAGCTAATCCGCCATTTTGTATCCAAAAATTGCAACCCGTAAAAATTAACTCATACAATTATTTGGGTATAACACGCTGACACTTCGAACTTTAATATAGGTAATTTTGTGAGAAAGCAGTATAGTATGTATGAGGATTAACCAAATCATGAGAGCAATTCTAAAATAATCATTTTATAGTTAACTTTTAAGTTTCATGTTGGCAGCACTGTTTCGCCGTTGCTCGAGCAGACGACACGAGCAGGCGGCTCTCGGTCCAGTGAGGTTAGCTGCTTTGCTCGTTCTCGGGCTG